TCAAAACCTTTAAAATAATTAATATCTGTAGATTAATTTCAATTTTTACTTGTAAACAACTTGTCTATTTCATCAACTAATCGACGCCTGTTTTTATCCTTTAAGTTTTATCGTGTAAGTTTAAGGATTTCCTATACTATGTATATGAATACTTTCTCATCAATGGAAAAAGCTAATCGGAACAATCTTTAGGCGGAAACAGCATTTTCATCGAAGAATTTTGTTCGTGAAACAGAAAATTTGGTTAGGTTAGATAGCAGGATATCATTCAAAAATTATAAAAATAAAAAATGCGTGTCTCGTGGAACACTGTTGCAACGAGTATAATATTATTGATAAACGTATTATATTTCTATTATTAATTAAAAGTTTTATCCCCTGCCCTGTACTCTTTGTTTGTGAAAATGACATGAAATGAAATTGATAAACGTTTAATTAAATAACTTGAAATTCTACACAAATGTCAAAAAGTTGTAATTGGTTGCCATGGTACTTCCGTGATGATTCGGTGGTGATGGAAAAATTCTTATACTTCTTCCGCCTAGCCCCAATCCGCCTAATCCGTACCGTGTGATAAGGAACATCGTTCCAAACGAAATGGTGCAATTGTAGAATAAATAGCGTTGTTAATCGTCGAATGACCAAGCATGCGATGTGCAAAACCTGTTAGAGGAAGATGACGAGTCAAAGATATTGTATACAAACACGAGGTAGATATGACACTAGCGCACCGAAACTGAGGCACTCAAATTACACCAATTGGTGTAATTAAACTGCAATTCCATTGACCGCTATCTCTTTCCGTATCATACGTTCTATATCATCAGTCACATTCACTTGCATATGTTACCAAATTTTATACGCCACGCAGTATGGACACGCGTCATCTTATTAAACATCATCGGCGACGGGGTATGAAATACGAAGATACGGCCTGTTCAGCCAGCCGAGTTCTACAAACGCAGCGTTGACCGTACCCGTGCACCGGATAGTGTCAATGCCACGCGCGATCTCCGCGGCTCATTGACTCTACAAGACCGCCCGCTCTACTACGCGCACACGATCATAGCTATTCACATTTCCTGCCCGACACAGGAGCTCCTACGAAGTATTTTGTACTTCGAGTCGTTTACCGAGCGCCGGGTCGTACGACTCAAAATACGAATTAATAACGTATATTATAGAGATGACTGAAGGATGCATACTGCCGCCAGCGTTCGGCCAAACTATTAATAAAAAACCAGTAGTCGTGTAAAAGCGTCAAATTTTAAATTAGATCAATTATTACACTTCTCATATTTATCAAATCAATTTGAATCAAAAAATTCCTTTAATGACCATCCTATCTGCGTTTCTTCTCCATAAATAGTTTAACTATTCAAACTCAAGCGTTCCTCAGTGTACGCAATTCACTTTTGGATTCAAAGTTTTCGCTTCACGTATATTACATATATTACATATACAGAGAAATTTAAAACGGTTACATCGACAATTATTGCGACAATAATTCTCCGTGGTAGGGCCTCGGCTGTTGCACGAATGGGCAGGCTCGTCCGGGTAACTACTACGACCTCACAGCAGATCAGCGTAAAGTGGAAGTATAATACTTTCACGATTCGTCTGGTGAGTGAAGTGGCCGGAGCCCAATTTTGAAAAGGTTGTCAACGCATCTGGAACCCTCGGGTGTAGCAGATGTCTATAGGCGGTGGTATTCACTTAACATCAGATGGATCCATCTGCTCACTTGGCAAATTTTTACATAAAAAAAAATAGTGCTGAAATATTCAGAAATTAATTTTCACCGTGTCATTCATTTCAAAATTATTACAATTACATACATACATACATGTAATCAGTGTATGTGAAATTGGTAAAAGTGAAACTAGTAAATGGACAAGTTACGAGTCGGCGGGCGCGTCGGAGCTTATCGCGTGGAGTATCACTCGAGCTTATCGTATTTATAAACAAATTACTTAATGCCTATGTTTAGCTCCATAACGCTTTGACATGTCTGATCGAGTGCTTCGTAAACTGGGATTGGGGGCGAAGTTGTTCTGTACATTCGTTTTTGTGCTGTATTGTTGTGTTATTGTTGTTTCACAAAAAGTCAAAGAACAAAGTCGGCCATTTCAATATGTCTTCAAATTTATGGCCTCATAAATTAAATTATGATACGGAAATGCTAAATATACAATCATTGTATTGAAACTATAAATTTTATAGCAAAAACAATTTTAGCCTAGCTACTAATATGTGAACAACTTAGTTGGAGATGTGTGAAAACTAATTTCAAGCTTAGAATTATCTATCCCTGCTTCTTTAATGAATAAAAAAACAATTAAGAAATAATTTAAATAAATGAAATATACACTTGAGTTGATTTAAGCACTATAGTCAAAAAGTTAAAATGAACTCTTTCAAGAAACTGTTTTGTGTGTGTAATGTTTTTTTTTTAATTGATAGTCTATACCATGGACTAATTCTGAAAGTTTTTGATAGTTCCCATATAATCCTTAAATATCCTCACAGTTACAGTTTATTATAATTTAATAACATTATAGAAATTGTCAGGATACATATTGCCAAACACTACAAGTTTCAAGTATCAAAATGTTTGTTACTTACATTACAATATTGAAAATGTTTTTAACCTTACCTACGGAGAAACATAGTTTCTTTGATTTAAATTAAATATATAAAGTGGGGCACCCCATTGTGCATAATAAATAAAAAATTATAATATTCAATTAATAGAAGCTTGTTTGGACATGTTGACTAAGTGGTGGTAAGAACAAAGGTATGGTATAGATAAGGAGCTGGCAGGACGGAAGTTACCGTATGTATAGATCGTGTTTACCGGCGGCGCATCGACGCAGCACATTAACAATTAGATTGTTTCAATTATTTGAAAATAAGACAGAAACATGCAATATATGATGGATCATATGGAACTATTTAATTTTATATAATGTTTGCTTATTAATTAATTATATTGGCACTCTTATTATATTCCCGTATAAGCATGCCACAATGACAATAACTACACCATCTGTATCAAAGTGTATACACTCATCTCGAAAATATAACAACAACACAGCTGGATGTTTAATTTATTTTTTAACCTAATCTAAATTGAAGACATGTAGATTGCAAATTTTTACAGACATACATTACATCTGAAAGGGTTTGGAAATTAGTTAAACACTACTACAGCACACTTTGGTTAATTGGATATTATTATCATTACATTAATTACATCTAATTGTGTGATTCTACCCAGTACTGTTAACTCCATCTTAAGAAAATCTTAGGACACTGTGTTATATACATTTAGTTCACTATTCATCCACAGCACTAAATACGTAGTAACCAAAAATTGCCTTGGAACATTGATTTTGGGGTAAAAACGATTCAATCACAGCATTGAAAATATGGTAATCTTAAACACAAAATAAATGGTATTTGTCTATGTATTTATGATTGATTACCAACTTACTAAATGAAACTATTTTAACAAACTTTTTACAGATTATAATTGTGTTGAATCAGTAAATATAGTTTCATTTAGTACCAAATAAATAGATGAACATAATGTCTGATGTATATAACCTTTTTATGTTTAAAAAAAAGATAGATGTCACCCAAAATTTTCCTGAGTGGCATGTGTTATATAATACCATACCATAATGAAAACATTTTATTTTCAGTTTATAAATATAATACTTGCTTTCAATTCTTAAATATACTTGACAGTAAAACTAAAAATAGTTTTACCTTAGTTAACAGAATATTTTATTTTACACAAAGTAGCAAAAAATATTATATTTCATTGGTTATTAATATAGAGCAGTAATTAATAGAACAAGCCAACAAAATTCTGATTAGAGACCAACATTTAAATTAGGGTTTGGATAGGGTCAACTTTAAGAGGGTTCAATGTATGTGATAGCCCAGAACTGAGAAGATCAAGTCACAGGTCATCCCCCGGAAGGCATACTGCATTCTTATCAAGCCAGACACACTTCTTCTTATCATAGATTTATGTACTCACTCTGACATCAACATAAATCAATCATTTATATATGTACTACAACTACTTCAACTTTCAACAAATTATCTCTTATTTGTTGAAAGTTGAAGTCATCATAATATGAAGGCTTTGGTTGAATGATATGTAACTATTAACACACACATAAATGTATATAGATAATTTATAATATTTTTAGGTAGTTCAATATGTATTTATAATATATTTGAAAACAAGCCAAATAATAAAGAATGTCCATATATAACTTTATTAGTTATTATATTTACAGCTCTTAAAATGAATATATTAAAATTATTTTAAGATTTCTCTGCCATATACATAATAAAGTAATAGATTTTATAACCAACAATTGTTATCTCCTTTTTTATCTTTCATTAGTTTAAAATTTATAAAACACAATAACATTAACTCTACCTTTCGCCTTTCGCCTTACTAGAATTTTATGAATAATACAATTGCCAGTAAATTACTAACTCTACAAAGTAAAATTAAAAGAATTTTGTTTACGGCATACTAAAGTACTACTAAACCAAGAACAAAAATCGGAATCTAATTATACAATACTATACATCCAACAAATATCTAATCTAATATGATCTAAACACGAGTTCATTGTGTTCACGGCGATTCATTCATAAACTGTGCGAAGTGTCAAACCATCTCATGACAAAAACAAAAGGACACGGCCATAATAATATACAACCAAGTAACAAAGTTTCTTATATTTTGATACTAAGAGTTATAGTAACTTAATACTAGAATCTTAAGAAAATACTGAATACATTTCAGTTAAACTGAGAAATCTACACTTCTTAGACACCACCTGTTCACCACTATGACAACAAAAGTAAGATTCGAAGTAGAATTTGAATATATATCATTTACTACTAACTAAAACCTTCATATCGAAAAAGCGTGTATACACGACAAGATACACAGAAATATTACATACCAATCTTTATTTTTAATCTTTCTTCGATTCGCACTTTACGCGTTTCGTCCGCCATGTTAAATCCATAACTGTTTATCTCTTTCATCCGCTGTTATCTCTTTCGGAACGAGCCCCTCGGCCGGCTTGTCCCGCCACTTCCGGAGTGTCGTAATGTTCTACTTGAGCCTGTTTTCAACAAGTTAGAGTTAACTGGACTATTTAAACCCGAACATGTGCATTGTGCAAGCGTATAATTCAATCTAAGTCCACATGTATGTATGATGATGTTTTCCAATGCAATTGAAATCTAATGTATTCATACTTGCATTACGCATGTGCTTAATACATGCAGTTTAATTCTTCAATGAATGCACATTTTTAATAGACGTTACACCAATTTCACTTCACAGCGTAAAACTTTATTATTATAAGCACAGTTTAAGTCGATTTTATGCCTCGGGTACTAGTTTGATTATCACAACACTTCGTCAATATGATATTTGGTCTGACTGAATGAACAAAAAGTATGAATGGACAATTACGTCACGTCACGACTTTGCGCCTGCGCGGACGCAAATTCGCGTTCGCGTACAGACAATCAACTGATTCACAGCAACGCAACGAACCTATCCCATTCTTCCTATCTATTCATAAATGACCCAATGTCTTTAATTGGTTTGCAACGTGAACACTAGATGGCGGTATCACAAGTTTTACTTTTCTTATATACAAACATATTTTAGATTTAAACTTATTTACGGATTCAATCAAAATCTGTTTAAAAATAAGATTATAAATTTATTAAGGGTGCCAGGACCACTAAATAGTCTTCACTGTTGCACGAATGGGTCCGTTCGGGTAAGTAACACGACCTAACATAAGATCGGCGACAAGTAGAAGCATTACAATTTACACTTCTGCTGGTGAGTGACGCTATCGGGGTTCATAAAAGGTGGCAACGTATCTGCAACATTACGGGTGTTACAAATGTCCATAGGCGGCAGTTATCATTTAACATCAGATGAACCACCAGCTCGCTTGCCTCCTTCTCACATAAAAAAAGCAAAGCAAAAGTTAAAAACATCTTAATATAATAGACATTTTTACCTTTTGCTTGCTACGAACATTTAATGCCTCAGACACTACGCCCGGTTTCTGAATCACTGATCATCAACGATCAAAAACGTGCCAAATTATATTCTTATTTAAAATCGGCACCTTCTTTATTAAAACAAATTTGTTCCTCTGAGAAATAGAAATATATTTAAAAACATACGAATGTTTTTAGTAATAATAGTGTACTGATGATTTTTTCTTTGTATCTATTAATTTGTTATCTTTTCGGAATAAAGAATTTAAAAAGTTATGTTCCATTTCATTGTAAACAAATGTCCCTTCTTTCCAACCACCTTCCAACTTTGCCAACCTTCCTTTTGGCAACAAAAATGACATTTGAAAAGCCATTTGACAACTGATTAGTTGACATCTACCATGATTAAACTGACCACTTTTTTCTTTAACTCAAAACGGGACATTTGTTTACAATGAAATGGAACATAACTTTTTAATCTTTTTTATTCCGAAAAGATAACAAATTAATAGATACAAAGAAAAAATCATCAGTACACTATTATTACTAAAAACATTCGTATGTTTTTAAATATATTTCTATTTCTCAGAGGAACAAATTTGTTTTAATAAACAAGGTGCCGATTTTAAATAAGAATATAATTTGGCACGTTTCTTTTATGATAAACTTTGTTATCAGCATCGCCTTCAGAACTGGAGCTGTTCAATATCACCAGCACTACTATGAGAAACTCTAAACTAACATCCGAAGAAGTGTTAATTTGCCTAATAAATGGGTATTTTGTTTGTAACTGAACACTTGGGTTACGGCATAACTATAGGAAAAATTTTAAAACAACAAAACTTCCAATTATCTACAAAACTATTTAACTCTCCACCGCGTTAGAATAACCGGGAATAACCGATCGTCAACACAGCGGTTCCGCGCTGCTCATGATCATGTCTGACGAGCGCAGCGTGGTTTTAGAATTTCGCGCGGTTTCGGAAAACGGGACAATTTTGCGTCCCGAAGATTTGTTCCGGGACAAAGGGACAGCTATCTGAGAAAAGGGACAGTCCTTTTCAAAACGGGACGTATGGTCAGTTTAACCATGATCAGTGTTTCCTATACCGGGCGCTTTTTTTATGCGAAAAGTTGTCAAGCGAGCAGACGGTTCACCTGATGTTAAGTGAATACCGCCGCCCATTAACATCTGCCACATCCGAGGATTACAGATGCGTTGACAACCTTTTGAAAATTGGGCTCCGGCTACCTCGTTTACCAGACGTAACGCGAAAGTATTTGTCTTACTTCCACTTTACGCTGGTCTGCTGTGAGGTCGTGGTACTTAACCGGACGGGCCTGCCCATTCGTGAAACAGCCGAGGCTGCTGCGTGGCCCTAACACCGTAAAATATTACCACCGGGCGTAAGATTTTTGTTTAAATATATATGTCAGTGTTCTATGTATTACACAGAACACTGTCATTGTAACAAGCTCTATCTTTTTCTTGCATCGCTCTCATAGAAATAGTCCGTAATTTTCTTTGTTAGAAAGAGAAGTACGGACGTTATCTAACAATAACATACTGTAACAGCTGTTACTATGGTATCAGAGACAAATTGTCACAACATAGTATGAAATAACAGGCTGTTATTTTGTAACAGGTATTTGCCACTTACTTTTAAGGAACAGTCGTAACAGGTACTGGATTTAATCTAGTACAACTTATTCCTATAATTATCTATGGCGATTGAATTTATTTTTAACGAAAGTTTTTTGATGTGAAATATCAATATAATACGGCGAGTCAAACCAACAGCAGTTAGAATGGCCGTTGGCGACGATTCACCACATCAAGCGTCACAACGCTTTATATTAGTATGAAACATACAAAACGGTGTGGTGACGGACACTCATCACTAATGCATAGTGGCATTAGTGATGAGTGTTAAAGAAAACAATTAAAATTTTTATACTTTGTATTATAAAAAAATCATCATTTTCTTTAATAAGATCTATTTTATTTTTCATTTGTGTTTATTTCCTTTCATAAACTGTCCTATTACACCTAAATAATAATTATAATTTTACTATTCTGCGTTGTTGGTGTTATTGCAAATGCACTGACACAGTCATCCGAGTTGCCTCGGAAGTCGAAGTGCTAGCCGGGCTGAAAACCAGTGTCGGTATCAGAACAAATTTAGTTGCTGTTTCTTGACTCGAGTCCCGTCGGTGTCCCAATCTTAAACTGCTACATAGACTCACTTTTTTGTTGCGTTTTCATTTATTCTAATTTATGCAATATTATTTTATATTCTGTGTAATACCATTATTTTTCAAGTTTGATATCCATATTTGTACGACCGTGTATAGGCGTGTTTTTTTCTTTATTTCTATTATCTGTAAAAACGACGTCCCTCGACGGCTCTCTTCTATAATTTATTCAGTGCATTGCGTTTACATTCTATAATAAGTCGAATTAAACTAGTTGCCAGTTGATTTCATAGATTGTTAACATATTAAATGCTCATTCCGTTTAGTCCATACAAATATCAAATGTATGGACTGAAAAGACCGTGGGGATGACTTTGTTTTATATGTAGTGATAATAATCGCGAAAATCAAGAAATAAATTCTTAGACGGTTAACGTTAATACGTAACGTTAACACGAAAGGAGACTAACGATTGATTTAACAAGTTCGTTAATTCAACGCCCATCGCTAGTTAACCATCTATGGCTCTCTTGTCATGTGTGTACAAAAATACCGTAGATGACATTTAGATACCTGCACAACACAGTCAGTTTAATTATTTAAGTCAGTTTAATTTTTTTATTCAAGTCTGTGGTTTAATTATTTAATCTCTACCGTTATATAATTTGTTAGGTTTGTAAAAAAATATCGATATATCGATTTCTAAAAATATCAATATCGGCCTCGATATATCGAAAAAAAAATATCAATATATCGATATATCGGTCATATTTTCAGTTTAAAAAAAATAATGTATTTTCAGAAGTTCAGTCTGATTCAATAATAAGTAATAGTAATTTTTAGACCAAATTCACATTATTTAAATCAATTTTTTTAATTGGGGAATTTACAATATTTATCGATCTAATAGTTACAAGATTAAAACTATCTAAAATTACATATTATCTAATAAACCTAATCCACGCGGCATGGTGACAAGAAAGCTAGCTGCATTTCTTCGCTGAATAGTTATGCTTAACCTTATGTCGGGCTTATGTCGGGTTCGCACCGACTAAAACCCCCACGATGTTCCCTAGGCGCATATCGGCAGGGTCAAGGGAACGCTTTCGCACACTTCCGCGGCCCTGCCTGCGCTGGCCGCCTCAGCAGCCCCTTCCCGGGGAGCAACTCCCCTCTGCTCCAGGTAAGGCGCGCCGGAACATTCAGCGCGCCCTCGGCCCCATTTTCAAGGCCAACGAACTCCCCCGAATTCGCTGACAGGGGCCATGGGAGCCAGGAGAGCCAGTGCTAATAAGCAGCAAGCCTCCCAGCCCCCAGCGGCGGACCTGGTCTGTGTCTCCACCGCTCACCACGTTTCGGCAGCGGAGGGTAGAGGGAACGGCGCATCGTAATACCGACACTCCTCTCCCCCGCGGCCCCACCACCACAGCATCAACGATGCAGCCCCACCGACTCGCGGAGGATAGGGAGCCCGGCCTACGCATTACCGGCACTCCTCTTCCCCCGCAACTCCTCCTCGGTAGCGTAAGAAAGGGAGAGTGACTCCACCAGTACCACCCTCAACCTGTCCACTGCACCCTCCAGCATGCATCCAGAGTGGGCTCAATGAGACCACTCGGAGCGGCCGTTTCGGGCCGGCCTTACACCACAGGCCGGCCTACTGTGGGTTCCTCTTAGCTTCGCCGTGGGTGACCAAGCCACGGCTACTAAGCCCCTCCGCCACCTCAAGGCGGGAACCCGGTCGGAGGGGATGCCACCCTGACCGAAGTACCCCTTAGATGAGAGGCAGC